GGGGGGGGGGCACCAAGCGAATTAATGTGTCCAGTTTTACGAAAAAAATGTTACATGGAAAATGACTGTTTCGCCCAATGTCAGGGCTCGTCAGCATGTCTAGGAAACACACAACACCATAAGCGTATCTTGCGATTCCGACATGGACAGCCCTCTTTCAAAAGAAAAAAAGGCCTAAGCTGACTGGTTTTAAGGCACCAGCACTTGCCTTCACACCTTTGCTCTGCAGCGAAAGGAGTTTGGTTGGACATGGGGACTATATGGGACATTTTGTAGATGTGAAACCGCTCTCGTTTCACACCAATCCCAGTCAATTCCAACCCTTTACCCCGCTCCCCGGCCCACCTAACTTAAAATTCAATCAAGATCCGTGCTTACAGTAATAAATGCAGTAATAAATTTACGTGGTATTTCCACAAACAAAAAGCATTCATCATCCAATTCTTATCGAGAAATAGATTGACAAGAATGAATTGACGTTTAAAAAATTGTTATTTTATCGCATGCATGGTTGATAATTATAGGAATATTTTGTCCTTTTACTTGGATGGTGAAAAGATTGAGAAATATAGTTATGCAGTTTAAAACATTTTGTCATTTGATTGATTGTTAATTTGCAGGAAAAGAATTTCCATATTTAATTCAAATTGCTTTGAAACTTGCTTAATTATCATTCATATATATGTTAACTATTGTAAGATGCAAGTTAACATAGGTCAAAACTGTCTTGATTAAATCATTGGGTGTATATAGCAAGCAATTGTTGTTATGGAAGTGCACTGAACACCTTTGCTATTAACCAGAATACCAGACAACATGTTATATAAAAGCAAAAAAGTTAAGTAAATTTCAACCTCGTGTTTCCAACTGCAAATTTATCAATTACGTTTTCAATATCTGGGACATCTTGATGAATCTCCATCATGGCTAGACCGTTTAACCGTTCTTCAACCATTGTTCTATGCTGGTAGTTCTTAAGTGTCCTCAATGCTGAAATGGTTCTTTCACACTCACAATTAGTGATTGGAAGTGTTCCTAAAATACGGAGAATAACTTTGATATTTTCAAAACCATCAAAACTGACAGCTTTTAGAGTTGTGGGAATGTTGTCAGGAAGAAGTCCTTTGTGGGTCCTCCCAATAAGTCGTCCACAATGACATTTCACCATCTAGAGCTAACGGATAAGGCAAATCGCCAATATAAAAATTGGCAACAACTATGAATTCATCCTGCCAGTCTTTCCCATTCTCTTTTAAAGACATCATCTCTTTCGGTACAATGCTTAATAATGTCAACACTATCAGTGTCAAACTTGTGTTGTAAAGCAGAATTAATATGGTCAACTGAAGGAATACTTATGGTACGCTTATAATATTCTGAGATTGACTTATATGGAGGATTGGATCGAGTTGTTTGTCTCCCTACTGTCCATGGTTTACTCTCTTCTATGTTAACTTTTTCAGCTAAATCCAATGCCTCTGCATACCAGGCATCATGGAAAGAATCAATGGAATTTCTATAGTTAATAAAGTCATTTTTCATAGTATTAATTAAATGAATACCATCCATAATATCAATACTCTTTCCCTGTAGTAATATAGTCACTGGAAGAAGTCTATCAAGAATATTGTGGGAAATGATCAAAGCTGCAATAAATTCAAACTTTGCAACAAGATCATAAAAATGAGAAGCATCAGTGACAAGGTTTGGTCTATAGCTCCCTTCTACATTATCTTTCATCTCCTTGAGGGTATCATATAAAGGGACAAAAAGCTCAATAAATGTATCCAAACCCGCAATTCGCTCAACCCATCTGGTCCGACAAACATCTACCAGCCGTTTTTTCTGAGATTCTCTCTCAGGATAATTGCGGACAATTTCCTTAAAAGGCATGTTACGTGTCTGGGAGATATTAATAAAATGTGAGACTTCTTTAACATGTTTCATCATAGTATTGACCTCAACAACAGTCAAAGAATCACATACAGCTAAATTAAGTCGATGACTATAACAATGGGTATAGTATGGTGGCCCAGCGTTACCATAGTGATATACCTGTTTTATTTACAATAAGATGTGAAAAAATAGTTCAAAATTAATAAAAGCAATATAAAATTAAAATTTAAAAAAATACATGACATAAAAATATAGAAAAAATATTTGAGTAAAATTTAAACCAAAAACAAAAAATTAATTAAGAAAAAAAAACGAAAAAAAATCGAGCAGAAAACAAACTCATAAATTTATGAAAAACTGAAAAAAAACAATTAAAGGCACTAAAACATAAAAAATATAAAATAAAAAACCGATTAAGAAAACAACTTTGAAAATTTCAAAACATTTGATTTTCAATTTGATTTTTATTTTGCTATGATAACGATGGGCCATCGAAACATGTCAAAAATCAATTTCGAATGTTGCGATGGCCCAGCGTTTCCATAGCCCAGGATATCGTTGGTCAGCGGCTGTCTCTTTCGGGACAAAATGATATGCATAAATGAAGTATTGTTACCGTTGAGATCACTCATGGCATGCATCCTAAACTCTGTGAGACTGTGTATTTGTCGAGTTTTTTTTTATTTAAAAAAGAAGAAATATTAACTATAAGAAGAGAATTTGTGCCGAAAGTTGACGGGTATTTATTCATAGAAAACTGCAACTATGAATAACAGAATTCGAAATCCAGATTGGGAGACTGACGAAGATTTAAAATCGGATATCCAGCGGTACGTATTGCAAAACCTGAGTCGCAAAGAACTTTTAGACTTTGTGCAACAAGATTATCCACAATATGCGTGGAGTTTAACAACGCTTAGTCGAAGGATGGCTCATTTTAATATTAAATATATCGACTATGGTACCGATTTGGAAGCAGTTGAGACAGCTGTCAGGGAGGAAACTGATGGACCAGGGCAATTGCTTGGATATAGGTCAATGCACAAAAAGTTACGAGAACAGCATAATTTAGCTGTACCATGTGGCGTAGTTTATGACGTTATGACTCTGGTTGATCCAGAAGGTCTAGAACATCGAAGTAATGTGGGGAGAAAGAAACGTCACCGTGGACAAACTGGAACATTTACATAATTGGTAAGAAATATTTTTCATTCAAGTGGATTCCAAATGAACACCACAACAACCTTGACATTTGATTGTCTTGCAAATTTATTTAGGGACCCAACCACACTCACTCTGGCGACGGACATGACAAGCTAATGGATTACATGAACTACACTTTCCCTTTGGCAGTATATGGACTTCAAGATGCGTTCAGTGGTTACATTTTGTATTTAAAGCTTTGGACTTCGAACTCTGATCCTAAACTAATCGGGCGTTGGTATTTGGAGCACCTTTATCAAACAAGAGGTGTGAATATACACTAATGCAATTCCACCGATTGGCCAATCATGATTTACAATATTATTATATACTCAAAATGCTGTTCTTGCCGGTTTAAAAATGAGGGAGTTTAAGCAGATATAATTTGGGATAAAGCCTCCATTGAGTGGGGAAAATTTCAACTACTTGTCTTTAAAATTCTAATACCTGTAGACTAGTGGTAATTTTCAATGAGAACTGCATATAAGTTAATAAGTTAATAAGTGACAAACCATTGAAAGGTAATGAGAGGGGGGGGCAGAAACAAATTGTGTAGGGGAAAATTTAAAGAAAAAAGTTTGCGCAAGGAGGAAAGCAAATAAAAGTAAAAAAAATTCTACAAAAAAATTCCTTGATAAGCTGAAGGCTGAAAACAATTCATGCAAGCTGAACCCCCCCCCCCCTCCACTTTTCTAATGGTTTGTCACTAATGAAGCTGAGAAGATAACTTTTTGTTACATTTAACAGCAGGTGTGTACTTTTGTATGAAAATATTGTGAATTATGAAATGGTGCAAATAAGTTGTACATTTTTATGTTTCAGTGATCAGTAAGAATCTTCGATTAGATAAGGGGACCGAGACTGGCCAAATGGCTACAATTCATGCATTTTTTAAACAAACACATGGAGATGGACAAGCAAATCAGGATGCTGTTGACACAGTGCACTATGGTCCTTCCACAAGCAACAAGGTGAAATTGTTTGTTGCTTGGATCTTTAGAGGCCTTTTATCCATTTAAACTAACCTTCCAAGGCTAAATTGGATGTTTAATAATATGTAAATTGGATGTTTTTAATAATACAGATTGAAAGGTGGTGGCATGAGCTGCATCAGCATTTTGAAAAATTCTTCAAACGGCAACTGAGGATGCTATTAGAAAGAGGACATTATGATCCACATAACCAATCTGACAGGTACAGTGTTTATTTAGTACAGTAGATAGACAACTTTTTTAAAAATTTAAAAAAACATAGCTTCTATCTATTAAATGTTAAATTATTCTTTTTTAACAGGGATCTACTTGCATTTATCTTCATTCCTGTTACTCAAAAGGAAATGAACATATTCAGAGAAACTATATGGAATTCTCACAGGGTCAGAAGTCAGAAAGATGCACAAATGCCTAAGGGGATCCCTAATCATTTGTATTCATTTCCAGAAAACTATGGGGCTGAGGAATGTGGTACGGAAAACAAACAAAATTTTAACTACCTCATTAAGTAATGTACATTGGCATATCAAGTCATCTTATTGTTAGTGTTAGAGACATTAATTCCAACTAAAGTGTGGTTAAGATTACCCCAGCATATCATTCTTAAAACTGCATTATGTTAAATTTAATTGCCCACACAGGCTTCAGGAGTCCTGCCCTCACATCTGAACAGCTATATTCAAAAGTTTCCCTGACATGTTCACACTTCTCTTATACAAAAATTTCAGCTGCTGTGTACAACTTGGTTTTAATATATCATTGATTCCACTCTTATTCCCTTGTAGATCAGACTGTAAGTATATTAATTTACAAGCATTTCTATGTTGTACATATGTAATACATCAGTGACAATATTTGTAGGGAGATCAGGCTGAAACAGGCAGTAAACACTCATCCCCACTTCATTGTTGTGAGACGATAAAAATATTAAACAGGATGATATGGTCTCCTCGAAGATTATAGAAAGCTTAATATCAAAATCGGCGAAATTGAGTGTTGCTTAATCATGTAAAAATAAAAATGCTTTTTGATATAAAAACATATTCTTTTAGGATTACCTGTCACTAAAGAGGCGCTAGATGAGGCGGCACAATTATCAAGTGTCATGACCGTTGGAGAGGACTTTTTATCTCCCAATGTAACAGCGGAGTGTGAACGAATTATTCCGGACATAAATGGTGTGAAACCCATGGATGCTGCTGATGCCTATCTTTTCCTCAAAGCCCATTATCAATAATTTTAGTGCCAGTGCCAAGATAGACTAATTGTATTTAAAAATAGAAACCGTGGCTAGAAACGTTCCAAATGAATAATGGTTGCACAAGCTTAGTGGCAGTATAGTAGGAAAATTGAGATTATAAATTAGCTCATAACCAAAGAATGACACTGGTTAACTCATTAAAGTAAACAGCAAAGCATGTTAATTAATGGCCTTACTTTGTAATTTTGCATTGTCTAATACCAGACGGTTTCACTGGTAATGGAAAATTGTTGGACTTTTAATGAGCTGAACATGATTGGTTGAAAAGCCAGAACCAGCCGACATTTTATGAAAATAAAGTATAAACCAAAAAACAAAAAATGAAAACATCTTGAAAACCCAAGATATGGACTAAAGCAAGATGTAAACTTAAATGGTCATGATGATTACCATATTATTATTATCCTATTATGATAATTATGTAATATGATCGAAATATATCCATCAAATTTATGTCTTGCTTTAGTCCATATCTTGGGTTTTGAAGATGCTTTCATTTTTCAGTTTTTGTTTCATACTTTATGATTGGTTGAGCTGATTGAATACTTGATATCATAACAAAAACCACTGAAAATGTATTAAGTTATTCTTATACAATCAAAGCATTACATTAAACATGATAAATGCCATTAACATTAATAGCATTAAAGTGGTGTTTATTGATAAAAACATAACTATGTAAATAATAAGTGTGAACAATAATTGCTAAAGTTTGCTGTTAAATAAGCAAATATAATTCCAAATTCATGACTATAACCAAAATAAACAAAACTGCATTTATAAAGTGATAAAAGTGCCAGTTTATGTCATTCACTGTTTGCATAGTTTTTGTTTAATTAACTGGTTTGCGAGTACTCTTCTTTAACTCGACAAGACTGACAAACCCATTAATTCACAGAACTCATTACAAGTATGGTCTTCTATGAACTTCTCCATTCCCACAGTAGTACAGTTCCACAACAAAAATACATTTCATCTGTTTCAATATCTAAAACATTATCTGTGGCTATTTCTGGGTCGTACAGTGTGAAATCTGAGCCCTGTATATCAAGAAGCATAAGTTTCTTCTCAGATGAGTGATAGGTATAGTGCACCAAGCACTGTGCCTTGGCAAATATCTCCTTGCACTGACTGCTTGCTCCCTCTGGTGGTTTTATACACTGGCCATCATTGTTGCCAATCTTCACAAATCTGCCTGGCACATACTCTTCAATTGTTGCAGGCTCACCATTGTACAAGGTATAGAAACAGCGGTTATACTTAAAACACTTACCAAAACTGGATGGGGCTTTCGGAGTGTCCCTATATGTCGTGTGTTACAAGTCGTGTGTCGTGAGTAAAGTCGTGGGTCATAAAATGTGCTAAAAATGCATTTTTTCACGGAAATACTATTTTTATTTTTAATATTTTTTTCCGTACTTTTTCCTTTTATGCGCTACATAAATACAGGAAAATTTAACGCAACAAATCTCCAGTAATAAAATAATATACATGCTGTATTGCTGTTTCTTCAGGGACCGCGGAGCAGGGGGGGGGGGGGCTGGGGGGCTTTAGCCCCCCCCCAATAATTTTTCGTACATATCTGATTTTAATATAGCGCAGATAGCACTTTTGTTTGCGTAGTCCAGAAAAATATCAAATGTCTGATTTGCGTATTTCAGAATTATAGAGGCCATTTCCAACCAGCGAAACATATAGCTTTTACAAACAACAGGTCTCAACTTTCATGACGCTGTGCAATAATGTCAAGAGTTGTTAGTCGCATTTGACCACTTTATTTAAAATTCTGAGCCTAACATTATCCAAGGTGTCACACTCGGTTTCAAATAACGGTTGAAACTCCATATCTGCTTCAGACACAGCGAATACGCGTGTTTCGCTTCGGTTCCAAACAAAATGTTGGCGTTAAAACTGCTAAGCGTCGTTCTAACTTACTGTTTGCTTGTGTTTGACTATTCTTTGCCTTTGGAACCTAAATTATCTCCCAACAAAATTCTCACAAAAAAATGCAGGTTATATAATAACTATACAGTGAAACACGCAATTTGGTTGGTCAATAGTCGTGCAGGATCAGGCTATGCTGCACGAGGAATTAAAACGCCTTCGCGGCGTTATTTAAAATGTTATAGTTTCGCTGCAGTTATTTTATAAAACAATTACCAAATGGTTTTCCAAGCAGGATTGCGTGATCCATGCACTTGGGATGTTGCTCGACATTCGGAAAGTGTAAAAATACACTCGCCTGCGGCTCGAGTATTAGTTTACGCTTTCAGAAAGTCTCGCGATATCCCTCGTGCATGGATCACGCAATCTTGCACGGAAAACCATTCGGTATTCCTTTATTATTGAACACTTTCCAGAAAAAAAAACATTTCTAAAAAAGGTAGAGACGATAAGTATGGAAAATGCAATTTAAATTACGCTTAAATAAGGCGTTAAAGTTCGAAGAAAAAAATCTATTCAAGGAAAATGTACAAAGTGAATAAATTTTACCCTTACATAATGGCTTGCTTAAGAATCGTTGAAGAAACTTTTTAAGAGAAACTAGCAGGTTTTATTGCATTTCTGGGGCTCTGAGAGGTCTCAGATTTCAAAATTTTCCAGGGGGCATGCCCCCGGACCCCCCCAGAACGCTCACGCCTTTGGCGTTCGCTAGCCCCCCCAATCAAAAAATACCTCCACGGTCCCTGTTCTTATCTTGCTGTTATCTATTGTATAACTGATAACAAGTAAATGTTTCCGTTTCGTATAGTCTAATAAGTCTATAGATGTATTGCAGCCTAGTCCCAGGCTCTCTCTCTATTTGCTGCTTTGATATATTTAAATAAGTCTTAAAAGTTTTATGCCTGGGTGTGCTGTGCGGAACGCTTCAGCGAGAGAGCCTAGCAGATTTCGGTAAAATGGACCCTGATTTCAAAAAAGTGGTCCCTGGCCTGGTTACCAAGCATACCGCATTTGTAAAAAGAAAATGTTATGGAAATTTCCTTTGCGTTTATAATTAGTCATTAGTTTTGCTCTAATGCTGTCGGAACATTGAAATTTGCTACGATACGGTCAGAATGGAATAATGGGCTAAATATGACTTGTGTTTACTAAATTATAAAGCCATATTAAATGCTATGTATAAGCTTGAAAATTATGCCGAGTCTCCGACTAAAAATGTTTTGACAACACAGTACAGTCATGTTTACAATCTCCTCAGCTACTCAAACCTGTCAAGTAGCAAGCGTAGTTGTGTATACCAGTTGATCACAACTTGCGAGTATATAAATAACATCAACGATTATACGACCATTGCTCAGACTCAGTATCGTAAATTTGTATATAAATTTTTTTAATTGAGCACATTTTTAGTACAGTTTGAATTTGGTTATGTAGACATCGAACATGATCAACGAACATTGTCGTATTTACAAGGTTATTTGTATATATAAATTTTCAACCATATTGAAAATACTGAAAGCGCCGGGGACGAGGCTGTTGCTTGATGACACTGAAAATTTCTTAAGTTAGGATATAGCTAGGTCTATTAGCTTTGGAAGTGTTATAGTCCCTATCACGAACGTCGCGAATAACTATGTCGATTGCATATGTCTGATACAAACATAGTGAGCTATAAATTGTACGCTGTATTTAGCGTAACGACTGTAAAGTGGCCAACGCTCGAGTCTCAAATTTTGCTATTTTATCTCCTAGTATATGTTCGTGACCCTTAAAGGTAGACAAACGTTTCATGTATATGTGGCGTTCGGACTGAATATTCCGTAAGTTGCTAAGATTTGGGATTTTGTGATTGAAAACCGAAATGATTTGTGCCAAGATTTGTGCCAAGATTTGTGCGATGTTGGGCTATTTCTAGTGCCGACTGAGCGCACTAGCCGCTGTTATTTTGACAGAATATGATACCTCTACACTTTTCAGCCGTGATACATAATGCGCGCATTGTAAGTTGTAACCATATACATATCGTTTAATTTTAAAATTTTGATAAAACTTGATAAAATCAAAATTGCTGTATCTTGTTAAATGTAAAATGCGCAGCGTATTGCGCACATTTGATAAGAAAAAAATTGACTTTATTAGACTGAAATAAGCAAGATTTCCCGTTAAATACATGATATATACCGAGGCGGCTTTGCATTAGCCTACGGTGTAGACCCCAGCAGAAACGTGTTTCTTTTCACGAAACGTGTTTCTGCTGGCGGGGGGTCTACACCATAGGCTAGCTTTGCATGTGCTCTGGCAATGATCACACCATTGCGCTCCGGAACCAACATGCACAAATAACATGTTTTTTATCAAGTTTTTGAAGCTAAATTAAACGATATGTATATGATTACAATGCGCGCATTTATTTGTATTACGGCTGAAAAGTGTATAGAGGTAGGCCTATCATATTCTGTCAAACTGAATAACAGCGGTAAGCGCGCTTTGTTGGCAAATAGCCCAACATCGCACAAATCATTCGGTTTTCAATCGGGAAATCATCCCAAATCGTAGCAATTTATGGAATATTTCCTAAAGCCACATACACATGAAATGTTCAGTGTCTATCTTTAATAAGGGCCACGAACCGGCATATACTAGGAGATAAAATGGCAAAATCAGCTGAGGCTCGAGCATTATGCACGAGTCAATTCCTGGAGTAACCATCCCCCCCTCCCAGGACACCCCCGGGAATTTGCCCGATAGACAGTTCACGGGGGTCGGGAATTTGCCTTTCATATATGTGCACGGGGGCCGGGTATTAGAGGACCCCGGAGATTTGACAAATGGTTGACCAAAAGCCCATCCACAAATTTTAAGGCAGCAAAACCTAGTTTCAGGCACTCATGTGGGCGCGCTGATCGTATTTTGCGCCCTCGTGGTCAAGGTGGCGTGAAATTTATTGTAAGAATAAGCGAAAATTATACCCTGTGCCATGCAAATTTAAATACAACTATTAAAGGTTTATGTTTTATAATATTCCATAGCAGTTTAATACTATGTTATTAAATGATTATATGCGATTAAAAGTTTAATTAACGTTTACAGTTGATTTCACAAAACTTTGACCACAAATTTTCCGAACTTCGTTGCGAAGTTCACAAGATTGTTGCGAAGTTCAAAAGTTCATAATGAGATTCACAAACCAGTTCGTAAACTACGCATTTGATTGACTTCTTTTACTTCACAGGCAAATCAGGGACTTTGTTTACAAATTGGCTTGTGAATTCCAATATGAGCTTCCGAACTTTGCAACGAACTTGCGAACTTTGCAACGAAGTTCGGAACATTTGTGGTCAAAGTTTCATGAAATCGACTGTAAAATCGTCCCTGGGGTGGAGCATTTTCCACTCTCAGCTTGCCCAGGGGCCGTGCATTAGTCTTCAAGTTGTGTCCCGGCACACGGGCATTTACACTATCATAACCAATCAAATCAAATGCCCGGGTGTGTTCCCGGTGGGGGGGGGGGATGGTTACTCCTGGAATTGACTCATGCATTAGCCACTTAGCATTAATTACAGCGTAGAATTTTATATAGCTCAATATGTTTGTATTAGACATGTGCAATCGACATAGTTATTCGCAACGTTCGCGATAGGACTATAACACTTCCAAAGCTAATAAACCTATATCCTATAACTTAAGACATTTTATCATCAAACTGATACATCTATATAGACTTATTACCATTAGACTATACGAAACGGAAACATTTACTTGTTATACTACAGATAACAGCAAGAGACAGCATGTATTTTATTTTAATACTGAAGTTTTGTTGCGTTAAATTTTCCTGTATTTATGTAGCGCATAAAAGGAAAAAGTACGAAAAAAAATATTAAAAATAAAAATAATATTTTCGTGAAAAAATGCGTTTTTAGCACATTTTATGACCCACGGCTTTACCCACGACACACGACTTTTAACACACGACATATAGGGACACTCGGGCTTTCGAATCAAATTTCTTTGTGAAGTGTCGTGCCACAGCATGCATTTGCACCTGTTTGCGACAGTGGTTCTCAACTGATGTTCTTGCAATCCCTTCAATTGTGCTTTTAGCCCTTGCATTATAGGTTTTCACAACCCATTCTGTTGGTTGGTGGTTTTTAGCACTTTTCTTTCCAGTTGCATGGAAAGCATCTCTGAAGCCACCAGAAGCAAATTTCTTGGTGTCGACAAGAAGTTCTTCCTCCATGACTTCCGTCCACTCTCTTGATTCAATGTCGAATGCTTCAAAAGTAATGGTTACTTTGTTTTTTGGTTGTGGTTTTGCTAGTTTACCAGCTTTTAGTAAAGCATCTATTGATACTGAAGCTGGATAAGCTGTTTCTATAGTCATACTTTTGGTTGGGCTGCATGTGGCAGTTGCACTTTTACAATTTCTATTTGGGTGTGAAGTTGATTTGCTGTCCTCATAATAATCTTCAACTCCGTCTTCAGACAATGGCTGGTCATCCTGCATCACCACAAATCATACCAGGTAAACCTCCTGTTTAGAAAATGTGATGATAGTACTATAATACTTCTTTCCACAATAATATCATACATATAATATACATGTGGGAAGCTTAGGGGGCGTTCCGGAAAACCGTGTCCGAAGGGGTCTAAACCCAGTAACCTGGTTAAGGGGGGGGGGGAATTTTAACTGGGATGGCCCTATGTGGGTACAAACCTATTTTACATATGAAAACTATTGAATTTAGGCCATTAAATTTGAAATGTTAAGACTCACAAAATTTTCATTTTACCTTATCCTTCCGATGTGGAATCTGTCCAATGTTTGTACATGAAGGTCCTTTGTTTGAAACCAAAATATCGCACGTGCTCGCTGGCAAGTTGAAGTGGGCTGCGCACGCTTTCTTTAAGTTTACCAATGAAAGTTCTTCGTACTCAAAGTTGACAAATTCCCTAGGTTGCACAGGTCTAAATGTCTGCTTAGTATCTGGCTCGGACGCTAGCCGTTGTACTATGATCTTGTGAGGAGCAGTCGATCCGAACTTCTTCTTTCGCCCTGACATGGCATCATTACGAGTTCTCTTTCCACTCATTTTTGCTTGAAGATCATTCCAAACTGCTTGCCTTTTCATAGTTCTTCGTTTAACCAACAAAAAACTTCTCGAAGAACGGTCACAGATAGATCACAGAACAAAAATCGATAAAATAAATGCGCAAAACATTCTTGACTTTGCATGAATATTCGCATTTAATTTGGTAATTCCATGTGATGAGTGGGAGGCCGCTGACCAACGATATCCTGGGCTATGGAAACGCTGGGCCATCGCAACATTCGAAATTGATTTTTGACATGTTTCGATGGCCCATCGTTATCATAGCAAAATAAAAATCAAATTGAAAATCAAATGTTTTGAAATTTTCAAAGTTGTTTTCTTAATCGGTTTTTTACTTTATATTTTTTATGAGTTTGTTTTCTGTTCGATTTTTTTTCGGGTTTTTTTTTCTTAATTTATTTTTTGTTTTTGGTTTAAATTTTACTCAAATATTTTTTCTATATTTTTATGTCATGTATTTTTTTAAATTTTAATTTTATATTGCTTTTATTAATTTTTAACTATTTTTTCACATCTTATTGTAAATAAAACAGGTATATCACTATGGTAACGCTGGGCCACCATAGTATAGAGAGCTTTCTCATTATTACGTCACAGCACCTGCACCATCATAACCTTGCCCTTGACAATCATCAATAGATAATGTCAGGTTGTTAAGAGCTTCTAAGATTAACTTGGGAAGTTGTTCACCAGTTAACCCTCACCTACACTGAAGGAAAGCAATAAATTCTTCTCAAATATTCATGTCAATGTCTACAAAACGTAAAGCAAGAGAAATTTGCTCCTCATGAGAAGAGTCTGCAGCCTCATCTGCAATAATAGAATAAAATTTACTAGCCTTAATATCTTGAATTATCTGTTCACTGATCACCTGACCACAACACTTAATAATTTTATTTTGGCTTGTCTTAGAAATATAACTCTTATTTTTACCACAATTTTTCAAATGGTCCTCCAAAACTTTGTCCCCTGCCCAAATTCTAAAATTAAGAGATTCTACAAAATTACCAACTCCCCCTGTAGAGTAATTGCCAACTTCTGGATGGTATTTAGAGTCATCACGATGACCACGTAATGGTAAACCAAGATGGCCACAAAAAATGACAGAATCTACAATTGAGGCAAGTTTCTTTCTATTTTCCTCAATTTCTTTTTTGAGGTTAGTATCTAAAATTACCTCTATTGGCTGGCTGTGCTTTCCCTGACATTTGGGAAAGTAAAGATGTCAGTATAGGGAAGGTACATGAATGCAGGCTCATTTCCCCACCTAAACCCTGTCCAGCATGATGTTTCAAAGTATATGCTGCACCACTCCAACAGCAAAGAGGCTGAGAAAATAAATGATGAATTTTGCTACATTTACCAGGAAAGCGATCTCCAAACAGAACGCATGACAAGCAGAATGCACTATCTTGAGAAGGTGAATAACAAAGCCATGAATGTAATTCTAGCCAATCATACCTGAAGCTTCTGCCACTAGTTTTGGGAAATGAATATTTTTTGTCAGGTTTAAACACATTTTGGATAAGATTGCAAATCTCAGATGAGCTCATTCCCTTAACCATATCCCTGTACATTGCAACATCAAAATTAGTAACATGTGATTTTACCTTTTTCGCAATGGGTGTCTCACCTGATTCTAAAACATTGCTTTTTGTGTTAGTTGAAGTACTAGGTTTACTTAGATATAGTTTGCTATTATCAAGGGGGGGGGGGGGAATGACTCACTTTGGGCCATATGAGATTTTGGCTTTAAAACAGATTTCTCTGCCACATTAAAAAAATTAGCAATATTTGAGGCTTTTTTGGGAAGAATTGGAGAAATTTTTTGCTTCTTGGTGGATGCTTGGGAAGAAACAGCTACATGTTTTCTTTTAAGCTGCTGTGTATGAAAAAGAAGAGGAATAAAATTATTCAAACCTTTCTTTGGAGTTAAGCAGGGTCGAATCATGCGATTAAGTAACAATTTATACCTATGAGCCCCACAATCAGGATAATAACTAATAGTCCTATTTAAAACAGAAGGGAGACACAATATGCAGAGAAATGATGACCACTTTTTCTCACTGCAATTACGAATGGCCTCCTGTCTAACCAAGTCGGCTTTAGTGCAACCTGTGTCTAAACACTCCTTAGAAACAGACATGGGTAAAAGATTATTAATACTTTTGCTGAAGTACTCAGCATGCTCATTTACAGCAGAAGAAAAGCAAGGGTGCTGAGAATAAAATTCAGCATTAGCAAAAAGCTCTATTGATGTCAAGATTCTCAACGGTTCCATTAGACTATTGTTACCTACTTGTACCAAGGATGCAGAGCTATACAAGCAATTTCCAGTAACATCAGATCTAAGATAGAAAACATTAACCCTGTAAGTGGCAATGCACCCTAGTTTATTACTTTACCCTGTCTAACGCCAGGCGATTTTACTCGTCAGGGGTTAGGGACGGACCATATATCAATGGGTTAGGGACGGACCATTAGAAAATGGGGGGGGGGGGCGAAAAAATGAATACAAGCATAAAAGGTAAAAAATAAAAAACATGCAACAGGAACATCTCAAAACAAAATTGTAACAATCTGAAAAAAATTGCAAATATGGAAAAAATAACCCCCCTCCCTCCTTCACCTTTCTAATGGTCTGTAAACCCCAATTTTAAGGCTTTAAAATTGGGGTTTACAAAATATTGATTTAATATTGAGTATTAAGTATTAACCCTGCTTTCTAGTTTCTAGACTAGTATGTGTAATCGATAGCAATAAATAAAGCAGAAACATGTGCCACTGCCACGAATAACGATTCACAATAGCATTGTAGACTGTAGAGATCGTATTACACAAAGCCATGCCACATTGTCTGATTGTCATGTGCTTGTAGTTTTAATATACTAGGCAACAGACAACTAGGTAAAATAATACAGTTGTCAGTATTGACAGTATTATAAAGTGTCTGATTAATATTATAAAGTGTCTGATTAATATAGAGGCATAAAGCCATAAAAAATATAAACAAACTGAAACTGCATGTATTAAGCCACAGTATTTATGTAAATTGATTGAAATATTATGTAAATTTCGTCTGTTTATTATACGCGTATGGCGTACCCACCGGCGATTTTATACGGACAGATGCTCAATCTACAACAGCTAAATGTTATATCTAGTTAAATGGAATATATTTACCTTAAGGCAGTACAAATCTTTTTGTTTTCTCTCGAGCGTACTTCGGGATGTAAGATTCCACACCAAAATTGTGTGCGAGGAAGAAACTTGTGTTGTTCACAGCGCTCAATAAGTCCTCAATAGAACGCTTGGGTACACCGTCTATTCACTTATTTAGATCAGCTTCAATATCGTCTTTCTCTAAAGCAGCCGTTAAGGTCTCGTAAATACTGACAGACATGGCTAGCATTACTTCAGAACTTCTGATAAATTTTCCAATTGACTTTGATTGAACCTTTGTGATCAAGTAGCGATCAGAAAGGGGCAGAAACACAGCCAGAAACGTCATAGACCTTTCCATGCATACTATAGCATGATCGATCAGAAAAATCCAGGAATTCAGAATTTTTTTGAATTAGCCAATCGCATAGCCTGTATTCTAGCCTCTGATCACCAAAGCGATCAGAACTCCCCACAGATCGCGCAAAAATCGAAATAGCCAAATCAGATGGCTGGAATCTGACACAAAGCGTGCAAAACTCAGGCGCAAGACTGCTTTTCTGCGCGTTCATGTTTGAAGGCCTTGCTACTGGATGATATTTCAGAATCTGGACTGTTAACTTTCAATACAATACACTGCGCGAAGTTTGATAACTGGACTGCTATTTTATTTAACAATTTTCTAGCTGGGCATTTTTACCTTAGTCGCGTGATCGCTTCGATCACCCCTAGATCCGCCTCTGGTATATATCCTACTCTGTGTTAAATAAACGCAGAAATTTGAGTGTAACAAGGCAAATACTAATGCAATATTTTATGATCAATTACCTGTATTGTAAATTGCACCATTCCTTGCTTTTCCAGTCGGTCGATATGTTTTTATCTGATACTGTAGACTTCTCTTGTTTGATTGCGAAGAGTGTTGGCCAGTATAACGCTCAAAAACGACATATTTTCAGCTAACATAACACGCACACAATATAATTCTCTCTTGTAGTTTTGGTGCTACCCATCTAAAGACGTCACAAAGTTTGAGAAAATTTTGGGAAAATATTTTCCAAGATGGCGGCAAAACACAAAGTTTGCATGCATTTTTCTCATATACTAAAATGGTCGAGAAGGAAATTATAATATTTTCATAGTTTTCATCATTCTTGTATTGATCTCTGAACAAAAGCATTTATGTTAGAAAGCATAATGTCAATGTAATCAGGAGGCTGGGTGGGGATTTTGTAATTAGATTGTTTGTAATTAGCAAAATGTTTGTAAAAATTTTGTTTAAAATTAACTCTTAATGGGTAAAACCAAAATGTTTAAGTATTTTAACTGATAACATCTTAACCTTCTATGAAAACTACATTTGATGACAGCTATGTAGTTGGACTGTTGTTTTGAACAGAGTTACAGAAATGCAATTCAATATCTCCTGAGAACATTAGCTTCCTTTGATATCGTTCATTGGCAATATTACCTGCAATGTTTTGACTATTACACAATGTTATACAATGATTGTTTTACTGTATAAATGTTTTTGTGACAAATGGCTTAGAATATCCATATGAATTATAATTATAAAATAACATGTATATAACATGTGCTCTGATCAGGCCATCCAAACACGGAAGACTATTGTGTTGTTGTTGTTTTATAAAACAATTACTTTATGGTTTCCGTGTTTGGATGGTCTGATCCGAACACTTGGAAATGTTGCTTGAGTTAAGAAAAGCTCACAACATTCCCACATGTTTGGATCAGGCCATCCAAACACAGAACCATAAAGTAATGGCATAATAAATGCACAAATTTGGTATTTAAATATGTACTATTTGACATACCAGATGAGGATAAGTTGCCATCTTGATAGATGAGAATTTCACAAGAGAATAGGGAGAAAACAAGACAGTCAATTTAAGATAAAATCAAGATATTTCTGAAGCCAAAATTGGCCAACACAATATAAACACCTGAATAACTAATCTTGGTACAGGCTAACCCATGCCCGTTCGCAGTGCTATAGGCACTTTAATAATAATCACCTCTAGAATGTCAATCTTGATGATCTTAGCTTTAATTTCACTTGCAGAAACTATAGTCGGATACCCAGTGAAAAAGGGGTATACATAAAGTGCGAGCCAGCGAGCCATGCCGATTTTGTGAGGCACCACAGATCGGTGCGAGTCACACGATGTGTGCGAGCCATGCGATGTGTGCAATAAATAAATGTAAGAAATTGGTCATGACCAAATGGTACTTCTTAATATCTACAGGACATAATAAACAACTTGCGTGCTAGACTTATTTGAGATGTAAGTAAAAAAGTAACTTCCCGTAAAGAACTTGTTAAAACCAGTGAAAATGCAAAGTTTGGTTAGTGCGAATTGTTGTAGAATACGGAAGGTGTAGCCTTGCGGGGTTTGCATGCATGTTTTGTATATGTTACAATGTTGTATTTGCCAAAAATGCTAACAATTTCCGCACGTAATACAAACATATGCAAGGCTTGCAAACTTTGCAGGACTGTGTTTACCAGGGTTTGCAACATTTTGCAGCCGAATTTTGCGATTTTGCTATTTTCATTATGTTCGTTTTAGCTGTGGTATTTGATTCCCTTCTCTTTCCTTGGGTTAAAATTTGGTCTAACATGCAGGTTGTCCATTAGATCTTAAAACACCTTATAATTTGTAATTGAGTTATTTGAGTTATAAAATTCCTGTAATTGAAATTGGGTTCTTGATTATGTTTATATTTCGTTTCTGAAGTTTGTCTATTATTTTACTAATATAGTAATATACAGTCTTACATTTCACTCGTTAACCATTTTAAATAATTTTAAATATGATTCGCATGGCTCGAACCTTGGCTCGCATGGCTCGAACCTTGGCTCGCGTGGCTTGCACTCTGGCGCATGGCTCGCACCTTGGCTTGCATGGCTCGCACACTGGCGCATGGCTCGCACCCTGGCTCGCACAATATTGAAACTTGTGAAAAAGATATGGATAGACTAATGCAACGATACTGATAATAATTTATCCTTCAATTTAGATGCCATGATCTGTAATTATTATCTTCCAAATGACATTTCAACTAATTATATTCACCACAATCAATTTTCAATATTAAATCTAAATGTAATTAAGAAACATATCAAATAAGGTTGATTTGTTCAAACATTTAATAAAATTGATAAATAAACCTTTTCCTGTAATAGGCTTAACAGAAACATATCTAAATGACCAAAACTGTAAAGATTTTTTTACATTGCACGATTATCAATTTGTTAGCATGAACAGAACTAAGAGAATCATGGTGGGGTAGGAATGTATATATTAAATACACTTAATTGTAAACAGCGACCAGATCTTGACTTAAATGACGATGGAATAATTGAATGTTTATTTATAGAAATAATAAATCTTATCCAAGATAGGTAAAACAAACAAAAAAGCATATCTCATGAGAGAGTTTAATATCAAGCTTTTAAAATATGAAAGCTGGGAATATTCTAACAGGTTCAGCGAACAACTTTTTAGTTCATCATTCCTGCCTTAATTACAAGGCCAACTTTAGGATTACCCAACATGCAGCTACTTTGATTGATAATATTTTTACCAATGATTTTGAGTGGGTCATACTAATTACTGTCAAAACCTGACAAAAAGCTGTCAAAAAGCGGTCAAGATACAAGCATTGAAAAATCAAATAACAAGAGTCAAAAATCAAATATCCCTAAAATCTTAACTTAATTAGTAATATAATGCTTTGTGGTCATGATTTGTTTCATATCTTTTTATTGTGTTTTAAAAATTCAAACAATTGAATCAAGGTTGCATTTTGTACTATAGTCTATACTTCTGTATACAGCTATTTCAATTAAAGTTGTCCATGAGCAAAGCGGAAAAGTTGAATACAAGCGCATTTAAAAGCCTCCGGGGAATCGCATTGAAAATTCATTAATTTGTTAGCGATTCCCAGCAGCCTTACGTGCTCGTATTCAACTTTTCCGCTTTGCTTGTGGACAACCTTAATTGAAATAGCTGTATATGTATGTGGTTATATGTATTTTAACCTACAATCCTGGTCAAATATGTTGGCGCACTTGACACTGTGCGAAATTTGACTCGCACTTCAATAACAAGCATAGCAACCCCCCTTTGCCCCATTCAATGTTGTGTGTTAGACGTCTATGGTGGCCGAGGACTGCCATGAAGTTTTTACATAATAATTTTTTATATATAAAAAACAAAACAATAAAGTAAAAGTATATTATAATTTTAAAGGAAATTAATGTGTAGTAAAAATAAAATGTAATGAAAAATAAAATGCAAACAAAAATGAAATGAAAACAAATTCAAAACGAAATTCAATGGCAGCGCTTGTCTTACATGGCCCATTGCTGTCATATACCACAATGCATTGCGCATCAACAGTACTTCCATCTTCAATTTCCCTCCGAAAATTTGGTGCAAAGTGCAGCAATCGAAGCAAAGTGGAAACATCCATTCTTTCAAATTGGCTGTTCAAGCGTGGAAAAAATTTACCACAAATAAGCCAAACAGTGGAAACGCAACCATTTTAAAGAAAGGTGAGCTCGTCGTTAAGAGATTGAGTTCTGATGTACAGGGAAAGGCCCAGAAGTATGCAAGAGTAGGACCACACAAGTTCGTTTCGTTTCCCCACGAGGCTGTCACAGTCAAGAATCTCAAAGAAGCTTGTCACAAGCATTTTAAATCAAGAATCAGTGATGATATGGTGTGCGATATCCTAGCAGGAGATCAAGGACCATCATGTTCTTCTGTGGAGCAGCTCCAATGTCATTCCCCAGCTCCATCCCCAGCTCCAATGTTATTCATGTACGTTTTGTGGAAGCCAGTCATGAAGACCCCACCCCCTCCAGTCATGATTCTTGCTCCTGGGAAGTGGATACTGTCAGCAGCTGTCCAACCGAGGTACGTCATAGAAAGAAAAGACCACAACCACTGGAGGAAACAGCCTCGCTCCCAAACCCAAAATATAGTGCCAAGGAAACATTGTACCCAAAAAGTCTGTTCTGGAAATGCTGAAGCTGGGAATAGTCATAAAAGGTACGTCGACTTCTTTTGATTTGTACGAGTTCACCATCCAGACAATGACCTGGACCACTAACACACTGGGAAATTAATAGCATTTATTTGCACCACACGAAATCGAGGCTGACCTGCATAATTTAGGTTTCAAATTTCAATATGGCGGTCAGAACTATTAGGCGTGATATTTTAGAAAGTCTTTCTGCTGAGATTGACGCTTTGTTCAAACAAGTTGAGCTTAAATACTGGGGATTTCTACCGTGGGATGCAATTTCAGAAAAGCTGGCAGTCCAAGACTTTTTTCGTGAGCTTTCTCATGGGAAGAAAGAGGCTATTATTGCGTATTCTAACAAGTATTCACCCGAAGAGAAGCTTGCAGCTTCGTGTTTACACGACATGGCTTGTTCTGAGCTTACGTTCTGGGCAAAATCTATTAGTCGTAGGCTGTATTTCACAGCCAGGCATTCCCATCCTTGGGTAGTGGAATTCAGCTCAAGATTACAAACGCTGGTTTTTGAACATATTATTAAAACCCTGACATGTTCTTCCTCGTTTGCTGTAAATATTCACCTGAAATGTACAGCCAAAGAAAGGAAAGTGAAAGAGCGCACCGTTGAAATTAGTAACTACAGAAAACTCTGTCAATTATTTGCTGTCGCTGGTAATTGTGAAACAAGTTTAAAGAAAGATGTATCTGGAAAGGGTCGTATTAATGTTATTGTCAATGACAGTAAACCATTTGTTGTGACTTACAATGAACAAAAAGAAACTGTGACAGTTATGTGTCACTATGGAAGCTGGAATACAGATGGGTTACCACAATTTATTTAACATTCATATTTATACGGCAACAGAAATGTATTAACACTGTAGACAATTTATACAAATTTCAGTTTGTCAATATTAGAAGGTGTGATAAAGAACAAAACCTTCCTGCTTTATTTGTTAAAGTTCCAAATATGAAGTTTATTGAATGTTTTAATTGGCATTTTGTGCAAACAAATAATATTTTATAATTATAACTAGCAGTCATACCTTGTTTGGCTTGGTTGTTGACTGTTAAGAAGCAAATGTCTTCACTTGACCAGTAAAATCGTTTGGCGATAGACAGAAGTTAATGTGAATCAGTGTTCTATTTACTCTCTATTAACGTTGGACAATTTGCCTCATCAAGGGGGGACCTGGCATATGATGCAAGATTTAGAGTGTATTATTAGGTATATACTCGAATAACAGTGTTACGCTTTCTTTATTTAGGGATAGGGGAAGGGGTGAGCAGAGGTTGGGTAGGAGTAGGGGGGGGGGTAGATCAGGGGTAGGGTGTGTAACACAATGTAGTGCTCTTAGACTGTGTAACGCTGTTTAACACTGTCTAACACTTGTAACAGTGTTACAACTGAGTGCCATAATATAGTCACTCTAAATCTTGCATGGTATAATCTTAATGGTTAATATGTTACCACGGGCACAACTAACCTTCTACTGCCTATTCTTTAATACAAAAATTTCTTTTGGCATTTTTGTCTGTTCCTAAGTCATTTTGGTAATACGGCTATTGATGTAAAAACACAAAGCAGCAATAAGAAAGATATTTTATTTCAACTTTATAATAAATATATAATAAATACAAGGCTACAATCAGCTTTAATATAATAAGTTAACAACAAGGTTATTTCTTGAAACAAATAAATAATTGATAAACATTTTATAACCAGAGGATATTGTTT